CTAACCCCTAACCCTAACCCTAACCCCTAACCCTAACCCTAACTGCTCTGGGCTAACCCTAAACCCTAACCCTAAAACCTAGCCCTAAAACCTAACCCCCCTAACCCCCCTAACCCTAAACCCTAACCCTAAAATATTACCCTAAAACCTAACCCTAAAACCTAACCCCCTAAAACTAGCCCCCTAAACATAACCCCCTAACCCTAACCCTCTAAACCTAACCCCCTAAACCTAACCCCCTAAACCTAACCCCCTAACGCTCTAACCCCCTAACCCCTAGCCAGGGTGGGAATTGAACCCACAACCTAACCCTTGGGCTGAGGTTGTGGGGGTGCAGTTATGCCAACAGACTATAATGGCTGGGCTGCGGGAAGTCATACCAACACTAAACCCACAGTTGCAATCCAGCTCCCTGAGCTGGAAAAAGGAGCTGGGAGAGCTGGGTGGAGCCAACTCCTTTGGGTGGTGGCTTTTTTAGGTCATTAATAAAAAACCCCGGTTTTTCCGTGTTTTGACACGGTTTCTGCTGTGCACAGCAGGCGGTTTTTTATTTAATTTTTTATGGCTTATTTTTTGAGTTTTTTTGAATTTTTAAAATTGTTTCCTACACTATAAAAGGCGCAAAATTTAATGGTGAAAACCATTTTCCATAAAAAAAGAATTTTAATTATTAATTTTTTTTTTTCCACTTATTTTTCAATTAATTGTTTGCATGCATGTACGTACCTTATTTTTTATGCTTTTTTGAAATTTTAAATTTATTTCCTAAGTTTCAATACGTTTAGAATTTAATGGTGCAAACCAAATTTTTTAAAACTCAACGGTTCATTTTTAATACTGAAATTTGACATTTTTTCATTTAAATTTCTACAGCTTAATTTTCATTATTTTTTGATGTTTTTAAATTTTTTCCTACACTTTGAGACATTTAAAAAATTATGCTATAAACCATTTTTTCCAAAAACAAAAACTATAGTACCTTGAATGCCGCATTTGACACGTTTTTTTAATTTTTCACTTAATTAATTCAACGGTAACATTCCATTTCCGTAAAACTAAATGGTTCATACTGAATACTGTAATGAGTCGTATTTTTCAATTGATTTTCAACAGCTTATTTTTCATTATTTTTTGACATTTTAAATTCTTTTCCTCCACTTTCAAACATCTTTAAAATTATGGTAACTACAAATTCTCATCAAAATGAAAACCATATCTTGAATAATGCCTTTGACATCTTTCCCAAATTCATTTTTACACGCTCAATTATCCTTATTTTTTGGAATTTCAAGCTCATTTCCTACACTTTGACAGGTTTTAAAATTGATGGCTGTATCAATTTTGCATTCAAATAAAATTTGTATATGGTGCAAATTATGCAAGAAACGGGGTACGCTCATCTGTTAAGATTGAAGCTTGTATTTTTAGTGAATTTGGACTTCACCATTCAATTCTAAACATTTGTAAATGTAGGAAAGAAATTTAAAATTTCAAAAAATGCTCAAAATTAAGCCGGTAAAAACCAATTAAAAAAACATTTAAAAAACCTGTCCAACACAGTATTCAGTAGCAAGCGCTGTTTTTTATGTAAAATGGTTGTTACCATCATTTTAATCATGTCTTAAAGTGTGGGAAATAAATTGAAAATTTCAAAAAATATTGAGAAATAACATGTAAAGAATCAATTGAAAAATATGACTAATTACAGTATTCAGAATGGACCGTTGAGTTTGAAGAAAATTGGATGTGACCATTGAATTCTACACACTTTTTCATGTAGGAAGCAACTTTAAACCTTCAAAAAAGCATAAAAAATAAGGTACACACATGTATGCAAACAATTAGGTGAAAAAGTGATGAATTAATTAAAAAAATGGTGTAAGACTCAAAAGTGGTTGTGAAACCCTTTTGCTGAATGGAGAAGGGGATGGTGGAGTTGCAAGCTCTGCCCTTCTATGCTATCAGAACAACAAGACCACCAAGCTCAGCTTGGCAGTTTATATATCGTGATAGAGGATAGTTCGAGATGAAGCTGTCGAATGATTCGTATAACGGTTAAAGTTGATGTTGATGAGGTTATTGTTGGTAGAAGTGGTGATGGTGAATGTTGTCGAGGTTGAGGCTTGAATGCAGGTTCTTGAGGTTGATGGTATATAAAGTTAAAAAGAGGTGATTTGGAACCAAGGCGCTGGGCACTGGGAGCACTATGCTTCAACCAGGAATGGAACGGAGGACCAGGCACATCTGGAGATAAGGTGGAGATATGGTGGAGATAAGGTGGAGTTAAGGTGGAGTTAAAGTGGAGTTAAAGTGGAGTTAAAGTGGATGTCTTGAATGAGAATTGAACCCAGGTCCTTGTGGTTGGGGTGTATGAAGCAAAAAAAGCAGTGGATTTCAGGCAAAGGTGAGATAGCTTAGTTGTTATGAAAAAAAGTAATGTTGATATTTCTACACTATAGACTGTTATAATATATAAGGGGGGTTATAATTGTAAAACCTCAATATTAGGTAGCTAATAATATTGAAGAGTGACCAGTGATGTAGTGTATATGGGGGGGACTGACTACAGAGCATCTGATGAGGAGGGAATACAACTGGCAGGCAGAGGCCTCCTTATATAGACAAAAGTGAGGGAATTTAGCTCCAGGGTACATGCAGGTGAGAGAATTTAGCTGGCCTGAAAATCCAATGAGGGAATTTAGCTAGTCTAGTACATGCAGGTGAGGGAATTTGGCTAGTGAGAGCACTGCCTTGAGGGATTTTAGCTAGCC